AAGTGTCTCATCTTTGGTTGCCACTGCAATGTGTTTGCCAACCTACTGAGTGCTCCTGGCACCTTTGGAAATGCTGGAGAGCTTGATTTGGGACATTGAGCCAAGGGACTGTAGGGACAAATCAGCAGTCCCCCCTGGGCAGCCCTCCTTCTGTTCCTGGGGAGTGCAAGTGAATCTTCTGCTCGCTCTCAAGCTTAAGGTAAATCACTTCACCTCCCTCCCTTCTAACGGTACTGTAGGTCTGTTGTGAAGCTAAATTGCTTGGCTTTCCATACCACCTCAGGATTCTCCCAGGGAAGTCCAAAGTAGTATTTGTACTGTGCTTTGGTGTTTATTTGCTGTTTGCAGTGGCTGGAGGGTAACTGCCTGCACATGGTGGTCAGCAGGGATGCTGTGTGCCCCCACACAATCACAGCTGCCAGATTAAAGCCCAGTCTTTCCCTCTGGACTATATTCCTGCTGCTTAGTGCCAGCCAGATGGTCTGTCCTCCCTCCCATCCCGAGATCTCTAATGCTCATACCAGTGCTCTGGCCATGGCTGGAGCTAATACAGCATTATTTCCATCACACACTTGGGGTGTCCTTTGTGTGACTCCAGATTGCTCTTCTCATTTCTAACTTTTTTGAAAATTATTATTATTCTTTTCCTTTATGTCAATTGTAGGGTCCAGTATCTCTGAACTGTTTTTCATGGTAATATTTATCATTGATGGGTATCTGAAATGGGCACAATTTTCCAGAATCTGTAGCCCTCTCAATATATTCAGTGTTTTCTGGACTTTGGTTTCTGTTGAAGACAGAATTGCCAGGCACATGCACTTTATACACCATTTGGGGCTAAGGAAGAGAATCAGTTTTTAGAAATCATACTTTGAACATGTGTGCACTGGGTAGGTGCTGGAGCAGGGAGCTCTGAGACTGGAGCTGTGTTTTTGTGAGAGGGAAGTGCTGGTGCCCTGCAGTGTCTGTCCTGCCATGGGGAATGATCCGTGGGATCTGGTGGACTCAGCACTGCTGTCTGTCCAAGTGCTGCAGGAACAGCAGGGAGGGGGCAGGTGAGAAGGGCCCATGAACAATGCCCAGCCTGTGAACTGCTCCACTGGTGAGCAGTCTGGGAGCTGTCTGGGAACTGTTCTGGGAGCTGTCCCAGGAGTCACACCCTCCTCTCTGGTGCTAAGTGGTGTGTGCTTAGTACCCTCTTCACACCGGGGACCTGCACAGTGTCCAGCTTAAATACTGCACTTGGACTGTGCTGCTGCTTTCCAAACTGGTTCAGTGTGTTACAGCCGGAGCTGGGGCTGTTTCCCTCGAGTGCTGCTCACCCTGCAGCTGTTGGTGTCGTGCATTGTGATTCCCTGGAATGAGGGAATTCCCTGCTTCCCTGCATGGCTCACTCAGGCATGGGGGTTTTCTGTGTGAGGGGAAAGTGCAGAGTGCAGTGAGACCTGGGGGTCAGGTGGTGTTCTGGTGCTGAGCCTCCTGCCCTGAGAATTCTCTCTCACAACCCAAGCAGAGCATGTGCATCCTCTACTAAATCCAGAAGCATCTTACACATTCAAGTCCACAACTTGTCTAATCAAAGAACTCCATAAAGCATGCATCTTAAGGCAACCTTCCTTGTGGGGAATTTAATTATTTTTTGCATCAAACTTCTTTGAGCAATATCAGTTTACTTCCATTAATAACCTGAGCAGTGCTGGTTTACTTCCACTACTAACTCTGTTGCAAGGTACAGCTCTTTGGGAAGGTGTCTCTGGTGGAACACAGTGCTCAAAGCACTCAACTGAGGCAGCTGATGGGTTTAATGGAAATTATTCAGCTAAAATAGAAGATACAGTTCCTTCAGGTTGCTGTGTTTCTGCATACCACACAATGGACTCCCTTACTCAACTTCCATATTAATGCCCTTTATCTAGATATAAAATTAATGGATTGTTGACATGCTGGAGTAACATCTTTTCTCTCAGCACTGATCAGCAATGATCACTTGGGATGAATGTGCCAGGCCCAGGGCTGAACCTGCAGGAATTCTGCTTGTTGTGAAAGTGATACCCCCAATCTGAGAAACCTGCAGAGCGAAAAATGAGTGTTTTCAGCTCTCTCTGAATTGGCTGCTTCATCAAGTAACTACACAAGCTGATTTTGAATTCAGATTTATATCTGGTCAGGATTTTGGTAACTTTTTTTCCCCCAAATAGTTTTGGTGGTACAGTCCTTTCCTATTTAGACATAATTACCTGCTTATTAATACTTTTTGCTCATATAGCTTATTCTACGTGTATAAAATAAATTATATAGGCACAGCCTGTGGGACATTCCTTTTCTACTGTGCTGCTGCTGTTGAAGTGGTGCAAATTTGTGTACAGTTAAGTTCCCAAGTGCACTTTCATTTGAAATGATGGTATTTAGCCCAAGTGTGGGGTTAGTTGGGTCTTTGTTTCCCTTTTTTTGTACTATGGGATCTTGGCTGGGCTCTCCCAGAGCTCTGTAAAGGAAATAACTTAAAAGGCCATCCAGAAAACTGCTGGTGTTTCTTAGGAAGGTTTTCTTACGGGATGTTTGTGTCAGCTGATGCAGCCCCCTTGGGATTCTGCCTTCGTCCCTGACGTGCCAGGGAGAACCTTTGTTCCAAGAGGCCACCGGGGTGTGGGAGAACCCTTTGTGCAAGAACAAAGGAGGATTGTATCGGCATGAGCCGTGAAAGGGGAGGGGGCTCAGGGGCTCTTTCAGAGGCACTGCAGGGATATATTGATAGCAACATTTCCCTGTAAATCTCTCCCTTGATAGGAGTTCTGTGTGGGAGCTGAGCGGGAGATAAGATCTCCTTATTGTGTGTAAATTCTTAGTGATGAATATTTGATATGGTTTTCTTAATTAAAACACGGTGCCTCTTGTGTTTTTATAGCCTGAAGCAAAGAGCCTGGCAGTGGGCTGGACCGTGGTGGTAGAATTGTTCCTACACCTCAAAAGTAACTAACAGCTTGTGCCTTACTAATTAAGGCTGGACGAGTGGCCCTGGTTAATGGAGGCTACAACAAAGCTCTTGGCTGGCGAGGGCAGAAGCCCAAGGAGTGTAGAAGCTGAAGCCTGGCAGAGGTAGTGGGTAATACTGCTTAGCCTTCCAAATTTTGGCAAAATATACCTTTGGTGTAAACAAAACACTCTGTAGTGGAGACCGTGGAAGTTTTAAGATGGAGCAAAACAGAAACAGGTGTTTTTGGCTTGTGCCTGCGGTGGATCGTTCAGACCTTCTCTCCTCCCTGCAGAGGCAAATTCCACCTCTGCAGCAAACCTGGGACAGAAATACCATGGGTGTCAGATTAGTGTTGGCCTGTTGGTCTCTAGTGCCTGCATCGACCAGCAGGGCAATAAATGTAAACATTTACACTTTGTCACTAAGTTATTGGCTTCAGCCCCATACTTGGTGCTGCTTCTGCAGGGGAAACCTCAGCACCTTCCAGAGTGGAGCAGCCCTGGCAGGGTGTCTGTGAGCCCAGCAGCTCTCTGGAAGGAGAGGGGGAAGCTGGCTGCCCTCTGCCTGCCTCCAGGTCACAGGATCTGCTGCCCCCTCTGAGTGCCAGTGCTGTTCTCAGAGCCTTCCCTGAGCTCATCTAGCTTCCCAGCCCTTCAGGGGCAGCCCGGATTTTCCATGGCTTTGTGAGGTGAAGCAGGTGAGAAGTGCCTGGTGACTGACAAGTGCTGGGGGAGAGGATGTCTGCAGGTAATTCTGAGCTCCTCACAATCAGCTCCTTCACCTCCATCACTGCAGGATTCATGGCATGGATGCAAGGAGAAGGGAAAAAGTTCTCCAGGTTCTCCTGTTCCTTTATGGCTGAGAGCAGTGGCTGTGCCCCAGGAGATGACAGTGGCTGTAGTGGTCATTAAGGATCACAGGAGTCCTGTTGGCTGTGATTTCAGATTTCTTGCCCTTTTTGTTTAGAGTGAAGCGGATCTGTGTCCCTCAGCAGAGCTGCAGCCCAGGCACTTGCAGTGAGTGGTGTCTCATCTGGGGAGGAGGGGGTTGTTACGAAGCCCCCCTGGCAGTAGTTTTCTGAGGAGACTTGAATGGCAGTGTCCTTACACCCTGAGAGAATTTGCTTGGTTGAAGACAGTTGGAGTTTGTGCCAAGTGTAGGCGAGCAAGCAGCTGGCTTGACCAGAGTGAAGGTGGGAGGGAGATAAAATGGGAGATCAAAGTGGGCTTGTAAACAGGAAGGGGTGTCTGGATTGCTGAAACCAGATCTTGAACTTAATAAAACAGCAAAGGGAGAAGGAGGATCCAGTGAAAGGACCTGGTGTCAGGACAGGAGATCAAGGAGTCCATGGCTTCAGAGAAATATGAAATGCTGGTGTGTCTGGCTGCAACAGAACTGTGCATAATAAGTTATGGGAAGGATTTTTGCACATCAGGGCCAAAGACAGAATCCCAAAGGGGCTGCATCAGCTGACGCAGGGCAGTGGCTGCCAAGGGCAAGGGCACTGGTGCAAGAGCTTTGCATCCACCTAACTCTCAAAACCTCCTGGTTTTGAGAGTTACTCACTTTTTTGTATATATAACCTTCACTTGGGGACTGTTGACAGTGACGTGGTGCTGTTGGATGTGTCTGTAGCTTGTTGACTATGGGCCAGCATCATTAAATGGATTACATTGATCGTGTCTCCAGGCCCCACTGTGGCCCAGGGTGGCTGTGACAGCAGTGACTGTGGGTGGGGTGGGCTCCCTGCAGCAGCTGGGACTTGCTGGCTGGTGGAATCAGTGCAGCCTGGCTCCAGCTCCATCCAGGTGATGTGCCATGGCCCTTGCCTTGGATGTCTGTGGAGATGGGCACGTTTGGGGAGTGAAAAACCGTGTTTGTTGTAACGTTTTTGTGAAGCCAATGAACTGTTTTGCGTAAAGGGCACAAATAACTGCAGAGCTTGCAGCAGTTGGGCATTTCTTGTGGATTAACTGGCAGTTCCCCGTTCTGGTCTCCCTTGCAGGGTCGGTGCCTTGGATGGTGAGCAGGAGGTGGCCCCACGATGAGTTACTGGAGTCTGGATAAGAAGAGCTGTCTGCAGTACTGCCGGCACTTCCTAGCGGACAACGGCGTGTTCCACGGTGAGTCACAAAGTTATTGGCTGGTTCTGGTTTCCGTGTTCCCTGCTGTCCGCTGTCCCCGGCATTCCCTATCCACACGTGTATCTCACCGGTGGCGCTCCTACCGGGACGAGCCTTCACTGTGCGGGGCCGGGCTGGGGGTGCGCGGGACCCCCGAGAGTGCGGGGTGGGGGGGGGACCGACGGGGGGGGCACGGACCGGGGCTGCGCGGCGCGCCGCACGGGCCGCCAGGGGGCGCTGGGATCGCCGGGCTGCGCGTGCCGGACCCACCGGGACCGACAGAGAGACTGACAGACAGACAGACAGACAGACTGACCCCCGTACTGCCGGCACACCGACAGACCGACAACCGACCCACAGACCGTACGGTACTGCCGGCACCGACCGACAGACAGACCGACTGACAGACCGACCCCCGGTACTGCCAAGCTCCAACAGACAGACAGACACCCGGTACTGCCAAGCTCCAACAGACAGACAGACACCCGGTACTGCCAAGCTCCAACAGACAGACCGACTGACAGACCGACCCCCGGTACTGCCAAGCTCCAACAGACAGACTGACCCCCAGTACTGCTGGGCTCCGACAGACAGACTGATTTACCCCCCAGTTCTGCCGGTCCAACCTGTCCCCACCCCCAGTACTGCCGGTGCTGGACCTGCAGGGGTCCGACCTGAAAGTGTCAGGAAGGGCTTGAGTTCCAGGTATTGATCAGACGCCTGTGATGCCTCCCAGAGATCCCCAGTCAGTGCCCATCACCCCCTCACCTCTTAGCCCCTTGCCATTGCAGGTGATGTGCTGTGATCATTCTGTTGTTGGAGGATCCTGCCACTAAATACTCTGAAGTCATTCTGATGTAAAATACTTCCTTTTCAGGATTTCTTTTTGTATGCTTAAAACTTGATATATCAACTAGAGAGGACATGTGTTCCCCCTCAGGATTCCTCTCCCTTTGCCTCACCCCTGGGCACAGGGTAAGGAGCAGTGCTGAGCCCAGCCTGTGCTCCTGTGGTGGGTCAGGGACCAGCAGGATTCAGGAGCTGTCCCTACCTGCAGTAGATTCCTGCATGTCTCATCTGATAAGAGAGCTGGACCCCTGCCTGCCTGCTGGGAGAGTGACTTCCTAATGCTGTTCTGAGAGGCCCAAATCTTGTATTCCTTATTCGCTTTGCGGTCAGTGATTAAAAACTGTCACTTCAGGGCACATTTATGGCACTATTAATAACAGCAGCATGGAGTGCCTATGAATTAAAGATAGAAATACTTGTCACTTTGAAAGCAAAGGTATTTTTTCCTAGAGAACATATCTCCATTTTCACTGTGTTTGTCAGGACTGGGAGAGTTTGCAGCCTGCTGTAAACCAGGCTGTATCTGCATTTTTGTCACTGTGATTATGTCACCATCGATGAAGTTAATGGCTTAGTGGGAGAATTAATCATCTGTCAGTTTGTGGATCTTCCTAATGAAAGGCAGTTCCATTCTCCCCTGTACTGCTTTTTTCTTGCCCATGGGCACTGCTAGTTTATTTGGGACACCAGAAGGATGTTAATAACTTTCTAAGTCAGTCTGACAGTGGCGTTGTCACATTAATTCATGTGTGTGCTGCATCTGGGACTTGTGTTACAGGCAAAGTGCTTGGTGAGCCTGTCATCTCCAGGCACAGCCATTCTGCTCCTCAGATGAAATGGAGTCATTCCTGGGGTTTATCAGGCCACTCATGGAGTCCCTCTGGTTTTGGTGGGATTGTGTTCCTTCCGAGTTGTCTCCCAGATGTCTTCACCCAGGTCCCCCCTCCCTGGGTCTGGGCACTCTGGCAGTGTTTTGGTGAGTGCCTGTTGATCTCCCTTCTCTCCAGGCAGCTCCCAGCTCCCTGGCACCAGTGTATTAACTGGAGCTGTTACATTTTGGATGTGTAGCTGCAGTTTTGCTGTTCCAGAACACATGAAGGAACAGTCTGGTCGGTGCTCTGTGACTGAGGTGATATTTTATCACAGAGCAGCACTATGTCTTTATCCTGCTAATGGTGCAAAGGCTGGATAATGATCCATCAGCACAAGGTCCAGTAATCTGTGAACAGCTATTGAGGGATGAGTGTGCAAAGTGATAATTCTCTAAAGTTGAAGGCATAATTAGCAGGGATCCTAGACCAGAAAGATTCCATGGCTTAATTTATTTGTCTTTTGTTCACGACCAGACAGGATTAATTATTTTTCCCTGACAGAATCTCTCAGGGCTTCCCATTTGTCTCTTTTAACCTAAGCAAGACCCTGCAGCAACAGTTCCTTCACCCTGAGCATGTGGAGGGAGCTGAAGTCCTGCTGGGCAGTGACAGGGGAGGCAGTTCCCCAGCCTGATGTGAGGGTGTGTGCATGTCCCAGGAGTTACCACGGGGCTCCTGATGCTGGAGACAAGTTGGTTTCCTTTGGTGCTGTGCTGATACAGATAAAAGAGTTGATGGAGCTTTTTGGGGATTTGCTCCTTGTCAGCGGGTGTTCAGTGTTGAGCTGTGTGTGTCCAGCTTAGTGCCTATTAATCCCAACTTACACAGTGTTTTCGTGATTTTTTGGGTAGTTATTGCTATTATAGTGTCATATTCTGATACTGAGAGCACGGCTCTTCAGGGAGCAAGCACACAGGATCGTTGATAAGCTTATTTTCCTACACTTCTGAATGCTAATATTCTGTAATTGTTAAACAGAAAGAAGCTGTGATGTGTTTAGCAAATGGCTGATTTTGTCTCAGCTGTTCTGAAAGTAGCTGTTCCTACTTATATTACTTATGCTAATGATCTTTTTTTCTTAACTACTTTCAGAAACAAAATTTTTTTAAAACTCCATTTCCATAATTTTAATTAATTCTCTAAGTTTCTAACTTTATCTTCTGGCCTCTCCACCTCTTTCCAGACCTGTATCAGTAGGGACTGGCCACCATTGGTAGAATGTTGTGTTAATTCTGCCCTTATTACCCCAACTGCACCCTTTGATTTGGAGCAGTGGGATAACTCAGTTGCCTCAGGGCTGTCTGGAAGGTCACATCACAGTAACTGCCTGTAACTGAACCTGTGAGCTGGAAGAACTGTTGCACCTCAGGTGCAGGGCAGCCAGGTAAAAATATCTCACAGGATCAGTGGGTGTTCTTAAAAAGCACAGCACCACCTTCAGAGACCTCAGGACTGGAAGCATCCACAGGGATGCACGATAGGAAATTTGCTGCTCTACTGCTCATCTCTGGTGCTTCCTCCCTCCCCTTGTGGCACCTGCACTGCTTTAAGCACCTGAGCAGATGTTTGTTCCATTTGTTCACCTCCAGCTGAGGGGTTCAAGTGCAACAGCTTGTGGACTGCATAAATAAGAATGCTGGAGCTCTGTATTTATTGGGAGTAGTTTAAATGGCTTGTTTTGTGTAAAAAAAGAAAAAAACCCACAACCAACCAACCAAAAAAACCCCCAACAAACCCCAAACAAAACCAAGGCCCCCAAAGAAGCAAAGGGAAAAAAATCAGCTTGGAGCAGAAGCACTCACATGAACCTGCAGCCCTGCTGGAGTGCACAGTGCTCTGCAACAGCAGGACAGCACCTGGCTCCTGGATGCTTCAGTGCAGGATGTCCCATCCCTGGAAGTGTCCAAGGCCAGGCTGGATGGGGCTTGGAGCAACCTGGGAGAGTGGGAGGTGTCCCTGCCCATGACAGGGGGTGAAATGAGATGGCCTTTAAGGCCCCTTCCAACCCAAACCAGTCTGGGATTCTGTGATTAGTCGAAGGAAGATGCAGTTGTGGGTGTTGAGGAGCAGGATGATGGTGGTGGTGCCACGAGGCCCAGCCCAATGCAGTTCTAGTCAGGGGTACTGGAGCAAGGGGAGCTGGGGAACAGGCAGAGAAAAGGGCTACAGAACTGGAGATGAGTCACGTTTGTTTAGCTTGGAAAATCAAAGATTGAGAGGGGATGTGACTGCTGGCTCTGACTGCTTTGCAAAGGGAAAGCTCAGGGAGGAAAAGGCTTATTGGAACTGATGGGGAAAGTTGGCACAAGAGTACGCTGAAAATTGTCCACAAATATATAAAAAAGACACAGGATAAACTTGGGTACCTTCAGCTGGTGATTGGCAATTTTGGAAAAATGGGTAAAGCATCCTATTTGTGCCCTTGCTCTGAATGTAGTTAGCTAACAGTGTATTGACTAGTGGGAATAGAAGGCTGGAAAACCATTTGTATGGTCCCAATTCAGTTCCTGTGTACAGTGAACAGCAAACACAAACAGCAGTGCTCCCATTCCATTCAGGAAAACGCTGCTGTACATGGACCAGGCTGCCCTGGCACATTGTAATGGTGTTTAGGGACACTTGCACGTTGTTAGACAAGAGGAAGTATTGATGCACAACTGGGGCCTTTCCCCGGGGCTTTCACGGGTTGTCTTTAGGTGGTGACTGACACTGGTGTGCAGTGAAGTGCTGTGGGCATGGCACTGCCTGAGGCTTTCCCAGGATTTTATGATTTCGTTAGGAGAAGCTGCTAATGGCTGCATTTGCAGGATATTGAAATTCTTATCTGTTTATGTCTGAATTTTTGGTTACAGAAGTGGAGGTTGCTGCTGTGCCTTGCACTCTGGGGAGTCTTATCTGCCCAGGAGCAAAAGTGTCAGTTTTCCTCAGCAGCAGCAGCAGTGAGATCCAGCAGCGTGTGTGCACACGGAGAATAACAGGCTGGGGGCAGATCTGGGCCTCAGCTATTTTAGCAGTTCCTGTAGAACAGAGCAGACAAGCAATTACAATGTTTGGAATAGCCTTGAGGATTTGATGAACCCACTTTCTTTTCCTTCCTGTTGCAAGCAGTGCCAAGATACAAAGTGCAGCATCCCTCTAGGCTTGGAAAAAGAGTATTTTTTTTTTATTTTCGCAGGGTTTTTAAGCTGTAAATGTGGATCATATTTTGTTTGTTTGCTGGCAATAACAATGTGGGAATGGCTGTGTTGTCAAAGCAAACATCCATCTAATTGGCTAGTG